TATCTGAACAGGCAAAGGGGACACAGAAAACTGAAAAGGAGGACAAATGGGATGAAAAGGAGGACATGCTGTTTAACATTCTTGGCATTTGTGAAAAAAATTATAGCAAAAAACTGCCAAAAAATGTATTCACACCTACATTTATATGAAATTACTTTTTCCAGCATCAGAAAGACTGGTTTTTCACTTGCAGTATTTTTTTCAACAAATCTTTATTTTCAAGGACATATGCTAACAATAATATAGAATTGACAAGGAGCTTCTCAAATTTCACCATAGGAACATATTGATGAGTCATGTGATTTCCAGACTCCAGTGATCATAGATTTGAAGGGGCTGGATTGAAGCCAATTGGTGGAATCAGGAAATAAATTAAATAACATAAATCTAAGCTATCAAGTCTGTCGACGGACAAGGGAAAGAAAGAAGCAGACAATTTACAAGGTCACAATACAGGCAGTCCCCAGGTTAAGAACGAGTTCCGTTCCCAAGGTCTGTCCTTGTGTTGAATTTGTATGTAAGCTAGAACAGGTTATTTAGTCAGATGTTTGTCTTAGTATGTAGCATTTATTTAACCTTTGTATGCATATAGAATACTTAAGAAACACTTCAGAAACTTAAGAAACACTTCCAAAGATACTACAACATCTTAAACATAATAACACAGTACATAATAATAATAGTTATAAGAACATATAATAAGAAACAGTTCTTAAAACAGTTTAGATAGAGAAAAAAGATCACGATTAAAGGTTAACAGTACAGTATATGGCTACTGTTCAAGATGATGGGCTTAGTGTTGCAGGGGATGGATGTGGTGCTGGAGAGTCAGGGTTTGATTCTGGTGCGGGAAAGTGGGGGTGTTTACTACTGGAGTCAATCTCTTGAAGTAGGCATCAAAAGCACAGCTTTTCTTTTGTCATCATAAGGAGCCTGTAGCAGCTGAGGCCCTCGGTAATTTTGGTGAACCTCTCTGTATTAGGATTTTGCTCCTCTAACTTTGCCATCCCTGCTTCAATGAGACAAAAGGCTTCAGCTAAATCTTTCATCACAAACTTTTTTGGCTGTGGAGTTTGTAAGGTCCCAGTCTTCTTCCTCAAATGCTACCATTTGCTGACCTAGTTCCATAAGGTCTTCATTGCTCAGTTCTTCAGCACAGGAGCTGATTAACTGTATGGCATCATTTTCACCGATGTCTAACTGCAGTTGATTATCAAGATCAAGCACAGTTTGCCTGGCTTCCACACTATCATCAGTTATAAACTGAAAAGCATGAGCAAATTGGGGGCACAATTTCTTCTACAATCCTTTCATATTTGACTGCTTCACTTCATCCCAAGAATCAATAATATTTCTGATGGCATCATAGATGTTATAAGTCCTCCAGAAGTCCCTTAAGCTCATCACATCATCTTGGGTAGCCCTGATGGCTTGTGAGAAGGTCCACCATAAATAACAGGCCTTAAAGGAGGCTATGACTCCCTGATCCACTGGCTAAAATAGTGATGTGGTGCTGGGGGGTAAAAATACCGCCTTTACTTTGGGGTGAAGGTCATCTGAAGTACCTGGATGTCTGGGTGCATTGTCAAGCACAAGGGCAACCTGGAACGGAATTTGCTTGGCCAAGCAATAACGCTGAACAGCAGGGACAAAATGGTTCACAATCCAATCTTGAAAAATGGTACTTGAAACCCAGGCCTTTGCATGTGTCATCCACATAACAGGAAGAGATACTTTAGTGATATGGTGGAGTCCTCTTGGATTTCGGCTTCAGCTTGAAATCCTCTGATGCGTTCCCCCAAAGCAACAGTGTTAGCCTATCCTTCGCTTCCTTATGCAGCGGTACACTTTTTCCTTTTCTGAAATGTAGGTCCTTTCAGGCATTTTTTTCCAAAATGAGCCAGTCTCATCTACGTTAAATATTTGGTCTGGCAAATCATCTTCCTTCTCAATAATTGTCTTAAACGTGTCAGGAAAACCATGCACAGCACTTACATCAGCACTCACTGCTTCACTTTGCACTTCAATGTTATGTAAACTTGCCCCAGTTTTGAAACGATCGAACCAACCCTTACTCGCCACAAATTCTTCATCAAAATCACTCTCATCTGCTGTACATGCAGCTTTTAAGTCATTGAAAAGGCTTCAGGCCTTTTCTTGAACTAAAGCAAGGCTAATAGGCCCATGATGCTGATTGTGATCCTCTAACCATTTCCATTTCAGTGACTAAACCACTGTGTTGCTTAGGAATAACTGTGGCTGCCATTAAGGCAGGCCTTTCACAGGTTCCATTATTCTTACTTTATGCTTTAAAATTGTTCCGATTGTTGACCTACCGTAGCCTAACACTTTTTGAATCTCCGAGGGCGTTTCAACTTTATTATTTCAACTTTATTTTCCAATGGTGATCGTTTTTCTTTTCTTTGAAGCATCTCCAGCACTTGCATCATGCTTTCCCTTTGGAGGCATGGTAAATAGTCAGGGAAAAACAGGAACGTGACCCGACTCAAAATGCCGGGCAGCATTCTCGTCTGAAATGAGTGACACGACTCAAACGTGACATGACTCAAAATGCCGGGTGAGGAACCACTGAAGCTGCGCAATGCTTTCAGGAAGCACTGAAAACTGCTGAAAATAGGCTGTACTTTAAAAAAATCTTTTAAAAACACATGCATTACTTTGTGACGCTCATGAAGGCACTGCACGGTTTAGCGGATTGCAGGGGGGAGAACATTGTCCGCCATATTGAGTCAGATCTCATTGCTGGGCAACCATCCACCATTTTAAGTACTGTCAGCAGCCTGTTTGTACCTACGGGTTGCTCGTACACTGGAGGTTCATAACCTGGGGACTACCTGTACACAAAAGTTTGAATGACTACTGTTGTGAAAACAGTCCAATTAAAAAAAAAAAAAGACACTCAAAAAGCCAGAGAATATTTGCTTTTAAGGCTCTGCCTGCCAAAGGAGGACATAAGGACAAAAAGGAGGCCATGTCCTCCTCTTGCCAGACATCTTGTAACCCTAGGTGAGACTGAAGTAGATTTTATCTGGTAGGTGCACAAAAGTGCTAATCTTCTAAAGAACCACCTAAAAAGGAATCTGGAGGGGAAAATATGGAACATTTAGGGGAAACACATCAAGAGGATGTGTTGGTGAGTGCCTCATATGCTTTGTGAAAGAATATGATGAAAGAATATGATGTCACAGCGATCAGATAAAAAGTTCATATAGATTAGCCTTTTGGCCCAGTTCACAAAAACAGTGGCTAAGCAGGTGACTATACCATCCCATACACTCAAGTTCTCTCATGAGCTGCACCTCTTGGACAACAGCTGGATGATTCAGATTGCTGCTAAACTAGGGAAAACGAAGTTCTACTCTTTAAAAGGCTGTTGAGGAACAACCCTTCTAAACCAACTAGCTCAGGACTGTTACCATCTCTGGCCAACCCTGCCAGACTATGAAATTCTGCCCTTGCACCAGGGATTTTATGGATTTGGTTATTCAGTTTATACCCAACTGTATATACCTTCAATTCCAGGGACTCTGGGTGGTTTACAGAACAAAACCACAAACAAATAAAACAACTGTGTCACAAATCAAGCCCCGTAAAATATGAACGTCAAAACAGAGTCATCTGCTGGAGGGGCAAAAATCAGCAAGATGGCAGACGGAGTGTCATGGTGCAAGCCCTGGACCTTCTGAAACTTGCATACGTGCATTCAGAAGGAGTGGGACTGTGATGCTCCAGACACCATCTTGTTGATTTTGACATGCACACACCATGCGAATGTGACTGCTACAAGATCAAATGGCAAATGCAGCCTGCAGCCCCATGAAGTAAGCATGTTGGAATAGTTTGGTCTTAAGCCCCAAAGAGTAGAGGGATACCCCTCAGAAGCACCACAGCTTCCAGAAGAGGGCCACAATAGTGCTATAATCAAAAGCACCATCCAGCTTTTTCATCTTTTTCTAATCTGTTACGGTGGTCAGGGAAAAAATGGAACAAGTGGTAGAAAAACAGGGGGATTCTAAATTATTATCTGAATCCCCCATACAGTCTTGAAAATGGGGCAAGATAATTGTACCATAAATGCCTCATCTGGATACACACTTATCCTGGCCTTGTCTTTGTGGGAGTCTGAACAATGTATAGTATAAAGGCAAGCATGAAAAAGACATTTGGGGGATGGAGATATTCATAAACAGCATTCAGATGTTATCTTTTGTACTGAGCATCTCAACTTTTATTTCCATCATAGATACTATCAAGGACACATATTAACGAAGTTACAATACCTATACAAATATTAAAGAAAGGAAAACCTCACATACAGGTATATTATGGAAGCAAACTTGATCTAGAAGCTAGGGTGCTAAATCTGCCTCTAGATTACTCCACTTCAAAAGTCAGATGTTGGTAAACTCAAGAAAACTCTCTTCAACTTTTTCCAATCTCTAAAATGGACATTGTAGTAGCAGGAAAATTACAGGTATAAGTGCAATAACAAGGCTACACAGGAAACAGTATCCTATGCTGTAGCCTAATGGGATATAAGCATTAGATTAAGAATTACAGTACTTATCTTCTTTGCAAGCCACTAAGGGATAAGGCAGCATATACATTTCTAAATAACTTAAATCAATAAAAACAGTACAGGTCTATGACAGGCTGTTAGTTAGGCATCGGATAGATTAAATTGTTAATATCAGGAGCCACATTCTCACACATTTACTAGCTAGCACAGGAAAACCTTCCACTAGGCTATCTTTAAGGTTAATTCATGTTTAATACATACATATATACATATAATATTTTTGTTGCATTTGATATAAAGAGGTGAACTGAGTTGATTCAAACTCTCTCTCTTCCCTGATCCAAGCCCCATGTCTTATTAGCAAGAGGACTTTAATTCAATAGTTATTTATAGATCACTCATACACAAAATAAGAAATCTGAGATGTATAATCCATTTGCTGACTATGGTAGCTACTCACTGTGGTTAGATGTTGCAACAGGTATGAAACATCAATCATATCTGCCAGAATCAGAAGTCTTGTAACAGCAGCCAGAAGAGCACGTGCTGTTTGCACAACAGCCTCTCTTTTAGATAAGTTACAGGGATCATCGGTGAATTTTTTTGCTGTTATCTTTAAAGCTTCACCTGCAAAATAAAGATATAAGTGAGGTTGCCATTTATACACCCATAATAAATTACCAAAGGTAGACCATCTATATTGAACAATACCTGTTGATTTACAACCTACCATTACAGATGCATCCCTGTGATTTAAAGCCAATTCAGTCATCATTTTACCTATTCCTTCCATGGTAAAACAGATAAACACAGGGCCCAAAACTAGCTGAAATCATCCTGTTTCATGACTATAATACGTGCTGCATCTTCTTTCACCCCAGTTTTATGAGTTTCACTCTTAACAATGTCTTCAACTAATAAAACAACATTTGAAAATTCAATTCAATACCTGAGCCATTCTCACATTGGTTGTTGACTTGGTTGTTGAGTTAAGCCTTTTGAGTTTCTCTCAGGATGCTGCAAAAAATGGTATCTTAGTTTGCAAGGCAGTCCTTAGATCCCAGATCCTGGCTTGTGTAAAATAACATGTTCTAAGCATGCTGGGAGTAAACCTAGGCATGGGGTGCACTTCTAGCATACTGACCGAAATGTGCCAACACTGACTACTATTATCCTTGTCTTTAGCTGTTCTTTAGGGAACAGTGAATGTGGCATGGGTTGTATGGATGCCTTGATTCACTAGAGCAGTGTTGTCCAAACTTGGCCACTTTAAGACGAGTGGACTTCTGGGAGTTGAAGTCCACTCGTCTTAAAGTGGCCAAGTTTGGACAACACTGCACTAGAGCCATGGGAGGTACTAAAAGTCAATATCTATGACCCCATATAATGATGATTATGATATTTAGAAGATTGGATCATGTATTGGAAGAAGAGTTAATGGTAAACAGATGAAACCAAGAAAGAAAAAGTGGTATGTATGGAGAAGCTCTTTCTGAGCCATCTAATCTGAGGGACTTTGGCTCAGATGCTCCTCTGATGTGTAAACCTGCAAACTGGAGTTTTATAAGCAAGTATAACAATAAAAGAGCAATAATTATTATCCAGGAGGAAACCGATTTTAAAATCTAATAATTCTGCTTGCTAAATTTGGGGATATTCACATATAACCAATAGTATTGTCACTTCAGGTAAGGAACTGGTTAGAGCACACTTAGCTGCTCTGAATGAGTTCAAGCCTCCTGGTCCAGATGGTTTACACCCCAGGGTACTGAAGGGGCTAGCAGATGTGACCTCAGAACCACTGAATGAAATCTTTGAGAGCTCCTGGAGCATGAGGGAACTGCCAGAGGGCTGGAAAAGAGCTAATATGTTTCAATCTTTAAAAAGGGGGAAAAAGTGGGTCCAGGAAACTACAGGCCAATCAGCTTGACATCAATACCTGGGCAAATCCTGGAAAAGGTAATCAAGAAGTGGGTTTGTGAGCACCTAGAAATGAACAAGGTGATTACTAGAAGCCAGCATGGGTTTGTTAAGAACAGGTCATG